AAAAATCTTGATTCTCCCAACCCTTCTTTAGATTGTGGTTGTTGTTGTTGTTAGTTGCAAAGTCGTGTCCGACCCATCGCGACCCCATGGACAACATTCCTCCAGGCTTTCCTGTCCTCCACCATCCCCCGGAGTCCACTCAAGCTCACGCCAACTGCTTCAATGACTCCATCTATCCACCTCATCCTCTGCCGTCCCCTTCTTCTTTTGCTATCTATTGTTCCCAGCTTTAGGCTCTTCTCCAGGGAGTCCTTCCTTCTCATTAGGTGGCCAAAGTATTTGAGCTTCATCTTCAGTATCTGGCCATCTAAAGAGCAGTCAGGGTTGATCTCCTCTAGGACTGACCGGTTTGATCGCCTTGCGATCTAAGCGACTCGCAGGAGTCTCCTCCAGCACCACAATACAAAGGCCTCAGTCCTTTGGCACTTAGCCTTCCTTATGGTCCAGCTTTCACAGCCATACATTGCAACAGGGAAAACCATAGCCTTCACTATACGCACTTTTGTCGGCAGGGTGATGTCTCTGCTTTTTAGTATGCTGTCTAGATTTGCCATACCTTTCCTCCCCAGGAGCAAGCGTCTTTTACTTTCTTGGCTGCAGTCCCTGTCTGCGGTGATCTTGGAGCCCAGGAAAATACAATCTGTCACTACGTCCATTTCTTCCTCACATATTTACCAGGAAGTGATAAGACCAGATGCCATGATCTTAGTTTCTTAATGTTGAGTTTCAAGCCAAATTTTGCACTCTCCTCCTTCTCCTGCATCCAGAGGCTCTTTAGTTCCTCTTCACTTTCTGCAATTAGAGTGGTATCATTTGCATATCTGAGCTTGTTGATATTTCTCCCAGCAATCTTCATTCCAAATGGTGATTCATCTAGCCCCACCTTCCTTATGATGTGCTCTGCATATAAGTTAAATAGGCAAGGGGACAGCATACAGCCTTGCTGAATTCCTTTCTCAATTTTGAACCAATCAGTGGTTCCGTGTCCAGTTCTCACTGTTGCTTCTTGACCCGCATATAGGTTTCTCAAGAGACAGATAAGATGGTCTGGTACTCCCATCTCTTTAAGAACTTGCTGCAATTTGTTGTGATCCACACAATCAAAGGCTTTAGCATAGTCAGTGAAGCAGAAGTAGATGTATTTCTGGAACTCCCTCGCTTTCTCCATGATCCAGCGTATGTTGGCAATTTGATCTCTAGTTCCTCTCCCTCTTTGAAATCCTGCCGGTACTTCTGGTAGTTCTCAGTCCACATACTGCTGGAGCCTAGCGTGTAGGATTTTGAGCATAACTTTGCTAGCATGTGAAATGAGTGCAATGGTGTGGTAGTTTGAACATTCCTTGGCATTGCCCTTCTTTGGGATGGGAATGCTAACTGACCTTTTCCAATCCTGTGGCCATTGTTGAGGTTTCCAAGTTTGCTGGCATATTTAGTGTAGCACTTTTACTGCATCGTCTTTTAAGATTTTGAATAGCTCAGCTGGAATACTGTCACCTCCACTAGCTTTCTTGTTGCTCAGACTTCCTAAGGCCCATTTGACTTGACCTTCCAGGATGTCTGGCTCGAGGTCAGTGACCACCCCATCGTGGTTATCAGGGACATTAAGGTCTTTCTTGTATAGTTCTTCCGTGTAATCTTGCCACCTCTTCTTAATCTCTTCTGCCTCTGTTAGCTCCCTGACATTTTGGTGCTTTATTGTGCCCATCTTTGCATGAAATGTTCCCTTCATATCTCTAATCTCTGGTCCTCCCTATTCTATTGTTTTCTTCTATTTCTTTGCACTGTTCATTCATATGAAGACCTTCTTATCTCTTCTAGCCATTCTCTGGAATTCTGCATTCAGTTGGGTGTATCTTTCTCTTTCTCCCTTACCTTTCGCTTCCCTTCTTTCCTCAGCTATTTGTAAAGTTTCCTCAGACAGCCATTTTGCTTTCTTGCATTTCTTTTTCTTTGGGATGGTTTTACTTGCTACCTCTTGTACAATGTTGCGAACCTCCATCCATAGTTCTTCTGGCACTCTGTTTATCAGATCTAATTCCTTAAATCTATTTGTCACCTCTACTGTATATTCATCAGGGATATGATTTAGGGCATACCTGAGTGGCCTAGTGCTTTTCCCTACCTTCTTCAATTTAAACCTAAATTTTGCAACAGGAAGCTCATGATCTGAGCCACAGTCAGCTCCTGGTCTAGTTTTTACTGACTGCATAGACCATCTTTGGCTGCAGAGCACATAGTCAATCTGATTTCTGTGTTGACCATCTGGTGATGTCCATGTGTAGACTCATCTCTTGGGTTGTTGGAAAAGAGTGTTTGCTATGACCATCATATTCTCTTGACAAAATTCTACCAGCCTGTGCCCTGCTTCATTTTGTACTCCAAGGCCAAACTTGCCTGTTATTCTAGTTATCTTTTGGCTTCCTACTTTAGCATTCTAATCCCCCATGATGATAAGGACATCATTTTTTGGTGTTAATTCTAGAAGGTGTTGTAGGCCTTCATAGAACTGGTCAACTTCAGCCTCTTCAGCACCAGTGGTTGGGGCACAGACTTGGACTATTGGGATGTTGAATCGTTTTCCTTGGATTCGAACTGAGATCATTCTGTCCTTTTGGAGATTGTATCCCAGTACTGCTTTTCCTACTCTTTTATTGACTATGAAGGCTACTCCACTTCTGAGGGATTCTTGCCCCCATTGGTATACCTGATGGTCAACTGAATTACATTCACCTATTCGTGTCCATTTTTGTTCACTGATTCCTAAGCTGTCGATGTTCAGTCTTATCATCTCTTGTTGACCATGTCCAACTTGCCTTGATTCATGGATCTTACATTCCGGGTTCCTATGGAGTATAGATCTTTGCAACATCAGATTTTCTTTTCACCACCAGATAAATCCGCAACTGAGTGTCCTTTTGGCTTTGACCCAGTCGCTTCATTCTTTCTGGCGCTACTAGTACTAGCCCTCTGCTCTTCCCCAGTAGCATAATGGAAACCTTCCGACCTGAGGGGCTCATTTTCCGGCGTCATTTCTCTTTGCCTTTTGGTACTGTCCATGGGGTTTTCATGGCAAGGATACTGGAGTGGGTTGCCATTTTCTTCTCCAGTGGATCACGTTTTGTCAGAGCTCTCTGCTATGACCTGTCCATCTTGGGTGGCCCTGCATGGCAAGGCAGTGATCCATGAAGGAGTTCATTAGATTATAGGCCCTCAAATGCAGACAGAGAACTCTGATACCTGCTCCCAAATCTGATGGCAAGAACAAACTGAATGGGGAGCTCAGCTTATTATTGGCAGCACATCCTGACCCCCAAGGACTCTATCCCAGTGGTCCCATGTAGATGTTCAGCAGCAGGGAAGCTGTCTTGAGACTCCATGAGCCAAGCGCCCCTTCTTGGCAATGATCCGCTGGGAAAGATGCCACCAGCACAA